CTTCAACTTGGAAAGCCGCCTCGGTGAAGGCTTCTCGCTCAAACGAGTCAGGATCTTCCCCCCAGAGGAACGCTCGAGCTGCAAGGTTGACAATATGCCCAAAGCACCGTGTTCGATTGTTTCTAATATCCTCCTCGGCCATCGCAGGAGAAAGTTGACGATAGAGGCTCGCCAAGCATGTGTCATTGGACGAGACATTATCGCAGACACCCGCGCCAATCCGATCTCGTATCCCGTACTCGCCGAAGATGTCATATATTGTCGTTGCTTGGTTATCTCCGGAATGAGCTCCCCACACACGGCGCAGAACAAGGAGTCGCTATTGGACTTGGTAGGAGGCGTCGAGATAGTGAGCGTGGAGGCCAAGGAAAGCGTACCGGTTTGGAGAAGTCCACATGTCAAAGCTAAAGCTAATCTTTGTGACTGCCTTCTCCAATTGACACGATATTGCTCCCTTCTTCACCTCGAATAATTTCCGCATGGTATCACGCACCGACTGCCGGCTCCACGGCACCTCTTTCGCCAATGACGCATCGTGTAAGTCGAGCATTCGTCGCAAGTACGGATTCGACGGCGCCGTGAAAGGAAGATTGGCAGTAACGATCCAGCCGACCGTCAGCTCCTTCGCTTTATTAACATTGGATCTTGCAGTAGGAAGCTCCAGGCAGCGCCGTTTCGAAGGGGGCTGACTGTCAGCGCGAGACGAATCTTCGTACGCATTGCCGTCCGCCTCAGTGATCATATGTGACCTATATCCAGTAAGGCGCTGAAAAGGAATAAATGTCGGACTCATACGCATGTCATATACCTTCGGAGATGTTCAATTGGCGACGTGGTGTTTGTCGCGACGAACAACGAGCTCTTCCCGCGTTCATCACATTTCGAGCAAGCCCAGTAGGTCTGCAACGTCCGCAAATCAGGGCTGACTTCCGTGAGGAAGAATCCGTAGGCTTGAATCCAGCTCCGCCGGCCTTTGCGATTCTTGTTGGCAATATACTCCTCTGGTATATACCTCTTGCAGCCGATCTGAACCGTTGGGAGGTCAGCAAGAGTCGTTCTCCCAGATTCAGCCTTGATGGACGCAGCGTCAAGCTGCTGTTTCAGTGATTTGCGCTGACTGCTAATGCCCAGGAGCGTTTCTAGCGACTGCTGTTGTGCTGTCATAGCGGATCATTGGCGAACCACGGATCGTGGATGCTTCTCACACAGATTTGGGTTCTGAGTCAGCTGCGACACGTCTCGAACACGCGGGCGAACAAAACAATAAATCCGCGACACCCCTACCGTGTCCCTGGATCATCATTGGTGCAATCAGCTCGGGGCCACATTCCGGACCACATCAAATTCATTACCCTACACCTTGGACCCGACGAACCCCGAAGGGCCTCGTCACTCCCAGGACCGTCGCACAGGAAAACCCATAAAATACAGTATTTCAAGTAAATCAAGTAAATCAAGTTTGAGGCATTATGAACTTACTTACTTGAAATATATAGGACCGTCAACTTACTTGACTTACTTGAAATACTTGACTTGATACTTGAATTGAGGTCAGCGCTGTCCACAAGGGTCCAGGTGGTGAATACTTCGAAACGAATAAGGTGGAAACCTGTGAGCCTTGCTGCGTACGCCTGAAGATTAATCCGCCTTCTCTTCTTATCAGATTCCCCGCCGCCGTGAGATCATCTAGCAGGCAATCATGTCAGCAGGACCCTTGACCAGGGGCGGGACAAGTATTGAGAGTTGCTGAAATGACTGAAAAGATCGGTAGGTGACCACCACGCAGAGCCTTTCACAAGAAATGAGTTTTTCCCTGTCAGCTAAACTAATTTATTTTCCGGGAACGATAGAACATAAAGCAGTCAACAATCGACTGCTTCGAGAACTTGGGTGGATCCAAGTCAAAGATAACCGACATAGCCTATGTGATTATAAATCCCGCTTAGCACCTAGAGGGGAGCTCAATGCCAAATGGTTTTGGTATATTTAACAAAAGATTAAGGAATCTTATCATATGTGTGTTTAATAATATGAGCCCGGAATAGGTACACAGGTATATATCTATTATCTGGGATAGGTAGTTATGTAGGATACGCCTCTCGAGGATTAAAAGTAACGTTATATCTAGTCTGGTTAACATGCTGCAGCTTTGAGTCCTCCAAATGCTGCAGAAGCCATTCCATGGTTAGTAGGACTTCACAGATCGCTCCATATTTCCCTATAGTCTGTGAGTAGGTGTCCGTATCAATACTAGAATCGGCTTACCATACCCTCTTCAGGTCTTCCTTCTAAACGCTTCGTGATTATCTTTAGTGGCTTCAGTATGGCCAGGTACTCTGCAATCACTGCCCAGTCCTCACTTGACAACTTATCGTCAACAATTGCAGGCTTTTTCCGGCTCCTCTTCGGCATTGGCCTTGTCCCGCTTCCAGACCTCATGGCAACGTACTGGTCTCACTCTGTGACCTCCGCCTGAACCAGGGAATCAAGAGGATTCCGAAGCTGATAGCCTCGCTCCATCATCGCCTCAGACGAGTTCCAGCGGGTTGCGTTATCCGTGATCACATCGTAGGTTGACCGGGCTTCTAGACCTGTCCTCTAGACCTAATGCCGTGTTCTCAATACTCTGGAGCTTGTGGTGTTTATCGATGCGCTGACCAGATCTCTGCACCTAGTGAACAATGTTATGCAGCTTGCCAATTGGCCCTTTCGCCCTTCACACCCTTATCTCATCTTGGAGTTCCTTGTCGGCTTGGCAGTCCACGTCGAAGGCGTCGGCATCTGTCCCAAAGAGGATGGATCGGGCGAAGAGATTAATGATATGGCCGCAGCACCGAAGCCGGTGGTGCTGCTTATTGAAGCCAAGCCCAGTAGCGAGCTCTTTAAGGCACGTGTCGTTGCTTTCTGCGTTGTCTGTGACAAATTACCCCACGCGACCTTCGAAGCCATATTCATAGATGATTTCACTAATTCGGCCAGCAAGGTTTTTCGCCACAGTGACGGCCCCTGATTTGGGGCAGGCCGAGCAGAAACGTGCGAAATTTCCCTTCGTCGTCAAGAAAGTGTACGGTGAGCCCGAGGAGAGAGGTAAACTTGCGGGACGTTCACACGTCGAAGGAGACATTAATTCGGCTAAGTGAGCGACCAAGAAACTCAGTTACAACGCCTTTGTGACAATTGAAGATCCGTACAATCCATTCGCGCATTTTATTATGAGTCGGGAGACTTCCTAACTCAATAATGGCGCTGTTTACGTATTCCATAAGCTCTCGGAAATAAGGACTTTCCAATGTGTTAAAAGGGACGTTGTCGCCGGCCACCCAGCGGATAAGCAACCTCTGGAAGCGCAGAGGGTCGAAGGAGGTTATAAAAGCGTTCATCACGGCTTGATCCTCCCCTTGGCGAGCGTCCAGGCCAACCATGTCAAAGAGAGTACGCTGTTTCTTCCTTCGAGGTGACATTTTCCCACCTCTGTTGATACAGTGGACATTTTTTATGTGACTGTTGGTTTGGCTTGTAGACGCAGCATCATGCATGTGGGTGATGGCTGCCTTTGTCTGGTGACACTCTTTGCAGAGCCAGAAACGGTGACCGGAACTGTCTTTCTCGATATCGTATCCGTGCTCTCATACCCATCCTGTCCGCTGCCTTCTTCTTTGTTTACTGGCTAAATACCCTGGAAGGCGATCCTTCTCGCTTTTTCGAACCACTGCCGGACCTTGTCAACTACGATAGGGTACAGCTTATTCATGTGGGCCGCATTGCTAAGCAGTGGTGCAAACAATTTTCTTCTCTGGGCATGTGTTTTGAGATTCACCATGGAGAAAAAGGTCATTAAGATCTTCTCCTTGGTTAGTCATAAGGCTAGCAAAACGCCAGTTACTATCTGGACTGTGTTAGATCATAATAAGTTGTTGAGTTGCATTTTGGAAAGGTTGCAAGATCGTGATTCTGATTAAAGGTTTTCCTTTGATAGTTGTTAGACATTACGTGTATTCGGTCCAATGATCCAGATTGGTATATTCATCTCTCATTCTGTTGAATTCTACTCCTTAGAGGATTTACCATTTCGGTTATAATCTTAAAGTATCCCTGCTTGCACGTGTGACCCCAGCACTTGTTCAACAGTTCCGTCTGAAGGGTTGTAACAGTGCTGAGACAGCTCTCCAACCAGTAGCTCGGTCTTCCGGTTAGCCAGTCTTGTTTTCACCAGTATTCAACACTTATAGTCTAATCAGAAGATATGGTGATACGGTGTAAATTGATAATGGGTCAGATAGATACAGTGGGATGCAACAAGCTTGAATACACCTGAAGGTACCGATCATCGAGGCCAGCCGTAACAGGGGGTCATTATCTTGCCGGTTTAATCTTGCAACTGGGACCTAATAAAATCAGTTAGAAGAGCTTCAGTGCTTTATATACCAATCTTCTGCAGTAATCACACCGTTAACGCGGTTTGGCATTGCCTCATAGGGGTTCTTTAAGATCCCATCTTCAAGGTTATCCCAAGCCTCTATTGCAGCTATGTCTAGGGCGTATTGCTTGGCGACTAAGAGGAAGAAAAAGCGGCATCAAAAACGCGGTGCCGATCGGGTTACCCCGGACCGAGATACCTGCAGCTGTATTCAAACTTATTGCATCCCACTGTAGCGTAACGCGCGAAAGTCGCCAGGGCAGACGCGTTATATTATGCAACTCTAAGGCAGAGCCGACCAATGGCGGCCCTGGAAACCGGCCAACCCAGACCGCTTGAGACCACCTAATCTGACCGGGCCGCTCCGGTCGGTCGGTCTGCGATCTGAAGAGGGTCTTCTTGTCAGACGGTCTGCCAGATGGTCGGTATGTTAGCCACACTGTGTATGACGAAGCTCGCAGTAATCACTTGGAATGTTCCCCCACTTTCCCAGCCGTACATCCGATGGTCCCGATCCTGCCCCGGAAGATGCCATTCGCTATCCAGAAAGCGTAGTTGTTGATTCTATGGAAAGTGCCCGGCTCGTGGGAGAACATCTGATCATGGCATTCGTAAATGCCGATCCCGGTTTTCCACACAACCCCTCCAGCCCTCCTCAGCTAAGACAAGAGCACAATCTCAGACACTTACCTTGTCTCGATATTCGGGGTTAACCCGGCATCTATCGCATCCGCCGTGCCAAACTACTAGATCGCCAACCGGGGATACGTAGGGAGCCAGCCGCTCCGAGCAAGTAGTGGTTGGGTCGAAATTGCAAGTTTGAGCCGAGAGAAATTTCCACGTGCGAACAATAGGGAAATAAATAGTTTTCGAGTCTTCCTTCGCAGTCATGGACTCCGTTCTGAACTAAAACCAAACGCAAACAAAGTCAATACTCCCGTTCAAATATCAATTACCAGAACATGGACATTACAGAAGCGAGGCTAGCCAGGCGACTGGCCACAAGAAACAAGCCGGGCAAATCTTGGCCGAAGGACAAGAACTCCTTTTTCACAGGGTTCATGGAACCTGTCCGTTTCGAAGGGAGCCTAGAAAACGCTATAGTGGAGGGTGAGGTGCCGAAAGGGTTGTATGGCGTTCTATTCCGGGTTCATCCTGACAACCAATTCGCGCCTCGATTCGAGGATGAAGAATGGTTCGCGGGAGACGGGTGTGCTTTTGCCTTGCGCTTCAAGGATGGTAATGTTGACTTCCAGAAAAAATATGTGCGAACTGAGAAATTCATCAAGGAGCGTGAAGCGAAACAGGCGCTCTATGGTTACTACGGAAACCCGTGGAGTGCTCTGCCCGAGGTTGGTGTCCGTGACGAGAAGACCGATCTGAGCACTGCAAATACCAATCTTGTTTTCCATCCATCTTCCGGATTACTGCTTGCCTTGGATGAGCTGAACCCGCCGTACGCATTAAACCCCTTTACGCTCGATACAATTGGGACATGGAACTTCCAAGGAACTTTGGAAGCCTTCACAATGACGGCACATCCAAAGTACGACCATGAAACGGGCGAGTTGGTTTGTTTTTCCAATGAGGCAGAGGGTCACTGTTCGGTAAGTGCTGCCAGAACTATGGATTAAAAAATGCCATAAGTAATGCTAATGAACTGGCAGGGAAAGCTCTACTATTTCACAGTAGGCCCAAACGGAAGGATTACCGAAAGTTTATGGTTCGAAAACCCTTATGGGATGAATCTCATACATGACTGCATCGTCAGCAAGAAGTATCTCATCATCATTCTGATCCCACAGAAAGTTGATGTTGATTGGAACAAAAAATGCAACAAGCATTACGCGTGGGAGCCAGAAGCGGACCTGGTATTTGGATTGATTCCACGCCACTCTCCAGCGGCCAGTGATGTGAAATGGTTTCATCTTGGTAATAGTTTTGCTGGTCATTCTGCAAATGGATATGACCTCGGGGACGGGCGGGTTGTTATGGACGTAACCATCGCAGATGGTGAGTGCCTAGGAGTGATGGTGTGCACTACCTGCTAACTTCTTATCTTAGAGAATTGCATGCCATGGTATCCTACCAAAGATGGTGTGATGCCTGACATAAACGCGATAGAGGTCAAACTCGCTCGTATCTACTTCGACCCAAAACTGCCTGGAACCAAGCATCGTGCCGAAGTGGAAATCATTCAGAGACATTCTGGGGAATTCCCAAGAATAGACGACCGTTTCCAAACTCGTGATTACACGACTATTTTTGTCCCTGCATTAGACGCAAATCAACCTACTGACTTCGACGCCGTCCTCTCTGTGGCAGGCCCAGTTCCTTTTTTCAATTGCATGACGATGCTCGACGTGAAAACGAGAGAACGGAAAGTGTGGTTTGCGGGGCCACATCACGGTGTGCTTGAACCTGTGTTCATTCCGAGGAGTAAAAATGCCCCGGAGGCAGATGGGTGGGTGATATTCCAACGAAATTGCTACGACACCATGACTACTGATTTTGCGATCCTGGATACTCGCTGTTTCGAGAACGGCCCAGTAGCAATTGTCAAACTACCGTTTCGGATCCGTCCTGGGTTCCATGGCAATTGGGTGGATGGAAATTTACTGGAATCTTTTAGGGAGAAGTATGAGCCTTGATTAATGGTAAAGCTTGCGTCAAGTGGTATTGGGTGAAACCGCGAATGTAGAGCCAATTGGACCTATAAATATAGTAAAAATGAACCTGGTGCCTTTAACTACATAAATATTATATATAACGATCCCACTGAGTGTATATTGACTACGAGCTGGGCGACTCTAACGAGTATCCTCAGGCTAAGAGAAAAGGAAACGAAAGTGAAAGGTGTTGGAATGAGGATACAAAGGAGACAAGGATCACAGTGATCTTGTTGGACTGGACTAGCATTGGAGTGGATTTGGCTGGACCGAGGTTAATCTAACCATCCTCGACGACGGCGAGTCTTCGCAGGCTTCAAGTACGGGCGCTGCAACTCCGCTAACACTTATAAGAACTGCAGTAGTATTCCAGCTTTGCGGGGTCAATTTCGTCACGAGCGCATCCAGCGGTCTCATAGTCATTGGACTTCCTCAATTGACCTCAGATCTCAATATACCGCAGTCGCTCGCCTTCTGGCCATCATCAGTTCAAGGGCTAGCCACAGCTTCGGCACTGCTACTCTCAGGCGCCGTCGCTGATGTCTTGGGGCCCCGATCCGTAAATCTATCGGGGTGCATACTCAACGGCGTGCTCATGTTGTCCTGTGGATTTATCAAGAACGTTCAACAGTTGATTGTTATGAGGGCATTGCAGGGCGTTGCCATAGCGATGCATTTCTCCAGTTCTGTAGCTCTCGTAGCTGACACTCAGCCCCGTGGACAGAGCCGAAACATATCGTTCGCTTGCCTGGGTTTAAGTCAGCTGCTAGGCTTCACCTTTGGCCTTGTCGTCGGTGGCGTACTCGTGGATACTGTTGGATGGCGCTCGGGATGGTATCTTTATGGAGGCGTTACCCTGCTCCTGTCCGCCGTCGGTCTATGGTCACTGCCAAAATCTGAGCCGCTCGGTTTCCGAAACATATTCGTTGATTTGATATACAGAGTCGATTGGATCGGAGCACTACTCGCCTCGGTTTCCATGGCCTCGATTTCCTATTTCTTAGCGTAAGTTGAGGTATTTCTAATTGTAACCAGAATGGTACTAACCAGATCAAGGGTTATCAGCACGGACGTCCATCGTATCAAAGAGACCGGGACTGTTACACTCCTATGCTTCAGCTTGGCGACCCTGCCACTGTTTGTTGGTTGGATGCATTACCGAGTCAAAAGAAGCATGCCGGCTCCAATACCTAATGGCTTCTGGAGCAACTCTGCGTTTACTACCATATGTATTGCTATAGCTTTATCGTTTGCAGTGCTGAATTCTGTTGATCTTCTTACAAGTCTCTAGTAGGTGAACGGCCAGAAGGTTTTGAATGAATGTTTTACTGACTATACGCCCACAGCTTTCAAGAGATCCAAAATTTGTCGGCTGTCGACGCCGGAATCCGCATCCTTCCCAGTACCGTCGTCGGACTAGGCCTCAATCTGATGACCGGCCTCATCGTGCATAAAATACCTGCTGTCTGGCTTGTAGCGGTCTCGTCGCTACTTCCCTCGGGATCGCCGCTTCTTATGGCCGTGATCAATCCCAGTTGGTCCTATTGGGTCGGTGCCTTCTTCGCACAAATCCTTCTGCCATTTTCTATCGATGTGCTCTTCACCGTCGGACTCATTATCGTTACTGAGGTTTTCCCTGAGAAGAATCAATCCGTTGCTGGTGCTGTCTTCAACACGGCCGCGCAGTTTGGGAACGCTCTGGGGTTGGCTATTGTGCAGGTAGTCTCCGCAGCGGTAACAAACCAAAAGATCAACCCAAAGTCCCCCGAGGCTCTCTTGGAAGGTTACCGTGCATCTTTTTGGACTCTCTTTGCCCTAATGCTTGTTTGCGTACTTGTGGCAGCACTTGGGCTACGGAGAGCGGGTAAGGTTGGGTCGAAGCGTGATTGACATGATCCTCTGATCTACTCCTCTCCATCCATGGTCTTCTTATTCTACATAACTTGTATTTCCAACCACGATGGAGTGGTTGAACGATGAAAGTTTATCATATGTTCACGGTCTTATGGAGTGTGTTCAGAATGCGAATGCGACGAGATGCGTTATGGTCATGAATTGATTATGCGATCAGGTTGTCAAACAGTTTGGAACCGCCAAACCGATGTTAAGCGTGGCTTACAGAAGCTGACTTGCTCCAGAGCTACTACCTTGAGGCACCCTCAAACTCCACCCTAGATGAACTATTGTGTTCAGATTTGATGACGACAACAATGTGTTATTTATTAACTTCTCAGGGTGCTTCTCAGCAGCGTGCAATTACTCCTATGGCTAATGGTGGCGGAAGCATATATCTGGACGGATTGTTCGCGTCCCAGCAAATAATCCTAGTTTCAAAGCATGATAGATCTACAAGATATCACTATAGATAGATATTACGTCTTAGATGACTAGGCATTCTTTCGTGCTCGACCACTTTCATATGGCATTCTGTCATCAACGGTGGCTCATTACCCCCCAGCTTTTGTGGGCGTCTCTCCGCCTTCCTGAAAGGACTAGGTAGGAGTGTGTGGCTTCTGGATCTTGGTCTCTCATAAAGGCGTCACGGATCTATCGCTTTATCTCTCATAACCCTACGTCGTGAGGTTTGGAGATAGAGGCCTAGGTACGTTGAGGAGAGGTAATCGGTATGAAATGTGTACCTAAGTATCTCTCATTATAAATAACAGCAAACCGCCCTCATTTTCCATCCATTTCTTCCTCTCTCTAATCTTGATCATTTCTCCAGTATATCGGTCCAAACCAACAGATGCCGATGAAAGTCATCCAGAAACTCCTTCATCACCTTATCATGCGAAGAATCACTAAAGTCTCCCCTCCTACTACCGTAACATTTTCACAATGCAAAGTTCAGCATTTTAGCAAGACCAGAAAGAATAGCAAGTCACATCGCGTTCAGAGGAGGCTGTCCCAACGGGATCGCATCGTTACGGAGCGTGCTGGAGAGTCTATGAGCAATGGATCATGGGTAGCTAGTTTACGGACACGAGCGACACGACGCAGGAAATCGTCCATGAAATCGAAAGAAAGCTCCAAGGTATATGATTCCGGGGATATGAAAGCGTGGTTCTAATAGTTGTACAGAGAAATGCGGTAGTTTGCTCAAGCCCAAGAACTGTTCCACTTCCCCCTGGACGTGGAAACGAGTCCCGACAATGACGACGATGCTGGTTTGCCAAGCATTAAGGAAATCTATAAGGGGCTGCAAGTGAACCGAAATAAGAAACGGCTATCTAGAGGTGACCAGTGAAATGAAAGGAATAGAAGGTGCTTTTCAAGATTTAACAGTATTCCTAGTGGATTTGGCTGTCATAACTTGGTCATATGAGCAGCGTAATAACGCACTATTTTGCAATTCTGCAGTCTCTTCTGTATATTTTATATACTTTACCATGAACAGTTACTAACATCTATGGTTTCTTTGCTTCTTTACAGTCCTTGGAGCAAGCATTCAAGACAGAACTACGTGGTAGAAGGCATACATAAGATAATATATGGATTAGAAATTAAATCGTCCCAAACTTCTTAGGAAATATCATAGAGATCTAACTGAAACTTTCGTCATTAGTAGCTGTGTACTAGGCGTGATTAAACGGTGTGCTTGTTCGGTACGATAACTTTCTAGCAAGACCCAGGGTTGAAAGCCACTCCACCCAATCCACGTAGTGGATCCACTCGTGGATTCCACTGTCCACTCCACTGGCAAAATCCCAGTGGATTGGCTAATCCACCGAATCTACTCGGCGATGTCGTGGATGGATTGGGTGGATTTGGGTGGATTAGAAGTGGGGTAGTTAAGGGCGCCCATGTATTTGGCAGAATGCCTCTAACAGAGGCTGATGTGCCCCATAATTTTTGCAATATTGCTACCCTATGTCAAAAACACCATGAAACTTCTGAACAGCGCAATTTTAGAATACATACAATATAGGAAACACTATTCGAATGTCCTATGCTTTCTCATTGGGATGACGTAAGTCTTGATGGATATACATAAGATTTGCTCCGTGAGTGCATATCATCATGAGGGCCATCTATAGGCGTATATTTTCCTCAACAACATATCCAGCAAATATCAAGCTCGACTGTCCATACTTTGGATTTATAATATAACAATTATACCATTAGATAATTGCCGGCAAGCTGATTAAAAAATCGCGTCCAGATCCCTCAATATCTCAATACTGCGCGAAAAATTGCAAGCGATACTAATCGCGTCAAGCTCGTGATGTGAAGGATGTTAGGGACTTATCTAATACCCGACCCCAATATGGCACTCGCTACGTGCTCGTCCACCTCAAATTAGCTCGAAAGGTAAGTATCTGAAACATCCGCAGGATAAGGGCATATTGTGCCAACTGGTCGCGTTGGACGCGTCATTCGCGCTGACCTGACGACCTGTTGTTGACCCATCACCTGCACCATGTTTTGCGATTTCGACATGACAAAGAGATTATTTTACCATGACCTCGCCTGATTCCTGCTTCGACATTTCCGACAGCGGCTTCGGGTCCGCTGCCGAATCAACACCCTGCCCGACGCCGTATCCTACCCGTCCAACCTCGACCCCTGTCTCGACTCTGAGGACCTCTTCCGCAAGCGATGAACGGTACGAGCGTACGCTCTGGAGGCATTTCCCAGGCTGGGCGTTCTCTGAGCGAGCCAGGGAGACGCGTTGCTGGGCCTGGCAATTTGGATATGACATCCAAAAGGAAGACGCCCGCAGATGGATATGCCGAGCGTGCATTCGCAAGAATAATCCACATCCACGACATTTCGAAGCTGATGGTATTCATAACGCGTACAATCATCTGTTCAACGACCACGGGATCCGCGCTCCGCCTGGAATGACCCAAGGAACTGCTGAAAAGAAGGCGAATTCTAAGGGCAGAAAGCCCCCGGGGCAGCGGACTCTCGCTGAATCCATGAAGCTCGATCTACACGACCCCCGAGAACAAGCGATTGCAAATGACTTCATCAAACGCTTCGACAAGGAACACTTCCGGAGGCTTCTGATCGATTGGATCGTGGCCAAGAATCACTCCTTTTCAATTGCCGAGGAGGCAGAACTCCATGCTATCTTCGATTACTTGAACCCGTCAGTTTCGGCACGTAAAGCCAATATTACCCACACAACTGTTCGAGAAAAGATCGTCGCCGCATTCGAACAACACAAGCAGAAGGTGATAGAGGTCTTGGGCAAGGCGCCTGGACTTATCCACATCTCCTTCGACGGCTGGCGGTCTGGAAACCGATACGCCCTATATGGTATCTGTTGCTTTTTTAGGGACGAAAACAATAAGCCTTGCAAGATTACGCTTGGGCTCCCCGAAGTTAGCGCCAGGCACACTGGGCCTAATATCGCCGCAGAAATCCTCGACGTAATTGAATCGTATCAGATCCAAGATAAGATTGGCTATTTCACGCTCGACAACGCGAAAAACAATGATACCGCCATGGAGATTATTGGTGGAGAGCTCGGCTTCGTTGGGGCCCGCAGGCGAGGACGCTGTTTTGGGCATACCTTGAACCTCTCCGCCAAAGCCATTCTATTTGGGCACGATGCTGACGCTTTTGAGCGGCGGATATCAGGGGCAGAGCCTCTTACCGAAGCAGAACATTTGATTTGGCGCAAGAAGGGGCCAGCAGGCAAACTGCACAATCTTGTGGTAGCTATCCACAGATCTGACTTGTTGACTGGCATGCTTCGCAACATTCAACAAGAAGCCTTCAACAAGTCATCTGACCCAAAACTCAACGCCAGGAAGCCATTGGATGTTATTTTGGACAACGATACGAGATGGCTGTCACAGTTATACATGATACGACGAGCTCTACTGCTTCGCGACTATATCGAACGACTCATTGCCCACCATCGAATCGACTTCGAACAGCAGAACAAGGCCAAGAGGGGCGGTCCTAAGAAGTCACTCACATTGCCCTTTATTTGCCAGCCAGAGAACCAGTTATCCGACAAGGACTGGGAGGTGGTCGAAATATTTGCGCAAATACTTAGTTACTACGAAGCCACGATCAAAATGCTAGAAGGCGACGGCCAGATCCGCAAGCGGAAGCGTGGGTGGACTGGGTCATATGGTAATATTTGGGACGTTATTCAAGGCTTTGAATTTCTTCTCGAGCAACTTGAACGTTTTAAGGACATCGCGAAGGACTTCCCTGATACTGAACACTTCAGGATCAACATCAATTTGGGCTGGCAGAAGTTGAATGAGTACTATGAGATATTGAGCGAGACGCCCATCTACTACACTGGCCTGGCGCTCCATCCGGCATACCGATGGAAATGGTTTGAACGCAACTGGACTGATCGCCCTGAGTGGATTGACGAGGCGAAAAACATGGTTCACGATGTCTGGCGTTTTGAGTATCGGGAGGCCGCGTTGCCTGGACAGGAGCCGCCAGCCGTTGAGCCAGTTCCCAAGCAGCGGAAGACTTCGGACAATCCGTTTCAGGAATACCTTAAACGAAACCGCTACACAGCGCCAGAAGCAGGTCATGATGGCCTTACGCTAGGCGAAGATGAATACCTGCATTGGATTACGCACTGCGAAAGTGGTGATGGCTCCATCAACGATCCTCTCGCTTACTGGCACGAGAAGCGATTCAAGTATCCAAACTTATCGCGAATGGCGCTTGATTTTCTCACGATACAACCAATGTCTGCTGAGTGTGAGCGTCTTTTCTCAGCAGCAGGTCGGATGGTGAACCCTCTCCGCCACCAACTTGAAGCCCAGATTATCGGGATGTGCCAGGTATTGCGTTCATGGCTGAGGGCGGATATTATTCATGAATTAGATCCCTTCTTTATCTCGGTGGACGAAGAAAAAGTCAACCTCGAATTAGCTCAGATGTCGGATCAACAGCTTGAAGGATGGGCAACAAAGTGGCTCACTCAGGTGGTGGGCGTTCAAGACGAGATGGGGGCCCGTTAGGGATAAGGTCCCACTCGGAAGTTGGAATAAGGGACCTACGTGGGCAATGGCTTCGGGAATAGCGTCACCATCATGGCATCAAGAATAGAGGCACTTGCCAATCCACCCAATCCACCCAATCCACGATAGCTTCCAGTGGATCCACTATACTGAGATATTCAGTGGATTATGATCTACCCACTCCACTCGAGCTGCCAGTGGATTGAGTGGAGTGGCTTTCAACCCTGCCTGCCTTTAAGGTGATAAGTGGGGTGTGCCACTCACTTATCGCATACGTTATTCTAAATAAGAGCTATTAATATATAATAAATATAATTTTAAATAAGAAAACTAATTTATATTAGGTTTATATTTATAAATAATATAAGGTATTTAATACTAAGTAGGTTAGTTATTATATCTCTTAATAATTAATATATATTAGGCTTATTAATATAAAGAAGTCTTATTAATAGCTAGTAAGCTAAGTTCTATTTAAGTGCTAATAAATATAATCTATATACTAAAGGTGGCCTTTTGGCTTAGTAGAGAATATAAGTGATCTAAGAGCTGGATCTAAGGGGATCGGTCGTGATCTATGGTGATCTATCCTTGGAGCGTTGTGATCTAAGTGATCTAATGGAAGAGGATTGTTACTGGGAGAAGTGATCCTGATGTGATTGGTGAAAATTGTGGGGGGCACGTGACGTAGGCGCAGGGGTCGTAACACAAAGGCAGAGGGACAACGCCTAAAGGAGGTCTTCAACGGAGATCAGGCTAGGATAATCCCTATTCCTTCTGTTACCGCTCAGTATAACGATGAAATAAATCATATAGATCGCGGCAATTAGATAAGATCCTATACCTTATATTAGCATCGTTTCTAGCGCAGTCCTTAGCAGGTATTACTTTAGTTTTTCATCCTTGATATTGCACTTATAAATAGCTTTATTTTACAGAAGAAGACCTGGCAGCCTTATTAGAAGCCTTATAGTATGCTTTGAGATTAGAAAGAGGTTATTTATAATGCCATTTTGAATAAGTATGGCACTGATAGCAGCATAAGGAAGAGATGCCATACAGGGAAGGAAGAAGACAGCGAGGATCTTAAAGCACAGCAAATTCACCTACAAAGAGATATCAATTATGTCCATAGAGGCAAAAATTCCGACTGCCTAGCTTGCAAAGGCTTCCGGCAAGGGCAGCCTTGACCCTTTAAAAAAAAAAAAGCAAAAAAGGAGCTTATCTACAGCCGATATCAGGAAATCAGCGGCGATCACAGACCCGATACGGCTGCAAAGTATGTGAGGTAGCTATTTATAACTCAGCGAGCTGCTGGTACTTCTATCACATGTAAAATTAGGTGTGTGGGGATGTACCTTAAGTTGCGCTAATTTTAATTGGTTCTAGACCCCTGTCGTGACCTCGTTGCAGTCTTGTGCCGGTCAAAGAGATAATCGCGAGAATGTCACAAAAGCCGCTAAGTTCTCTTTAGTGTTATCGGCTTTCAGCCACCAGTCTCGATTGTAAAAGGTGCGAGTAAGAAACAAATTACGTCGGATTAATCGAGACCCGATGGAACCTGCTCTAGGACAAGTTCATACTGTATTCAGCTCCCACTTGGGCCCTTATTTAAATGCTTCTCGCAGTATTTTTTGCAGATATCGCAAATTCTGCAGGGTAGTAAAGTGCTAGTTTCTCCACAAGTCGTATTGGTCGTGTTGGTGATGTTCGTATTGTCCGTATTGGTCGGTGGAGCACACTAATTTAGCTCTCAGCCACAAGTCTCAGCTGCAAATAACTTGAACGAGGTACCAAAAAGCCAGCCCAAATGGCTCTGTAGACTGCTCTAATTACTGCAATTATAAGCAGATAGTCTGAAGTAATCTATGCCATCAACAGTTGGCCAGGTTTCCCACTACTTAGATCTCTTATAACAGGAGAACAGACTACTCCAGCGACACGTGGGTATTAAATCCGAGTGATCCGAGTGAGCTTCACCGCCGTACAAGGATGTATTTATGGGTCCGGATATACGTGCATAACCAATAAGCTATTAATAAGTCGTGACTTCGGATAAAAGGGTCATGCACAAAGCTTTCCTGTCTTAACGCCAGTGCAATATCTTCCTCGCATCTCAGTTGAAGCTCGTTGCTTGTATTCTTCAGTTGCTGCCACATATAACACCTATCAGGATGGCTCAAGTCCAAGGCCACTGCGAAGACCGTTTTGTCAAGCTCCGCGACTTGATGCAAGAATTCATCGCGTCCGGACAAGACATCGGGGCGAGTCTCTGCGTGAATATCGACGGCGACAATGTGGTGGACTTATGGGGCGGCTACGCCGACGCATCAACCAAGAAACCATGGACAAGGGATACTGTGGTGAACGTCTTCTCGACCTCGAAACTAGTCACCAACCTCGCAGCTCTGATGCTGATCTCGCGTGGTCTCCTCCATCCCGATGACAAGGTCGCCCAGCACTGGCCTAAGTTTGCAGCGAAGGGGAAGTCCGAGATCACGGTCGGCCAAGTGTTGGCTCACACAGCAGGTCTCTGCGCGTGGCAGGATGATATGACGCTAGAGGATATATGCGACGTCCAGTCGGCAACCGACAAGCTGGCGATCCAAGCACCGCTATGGGCTCCTGGAACCGCAATGGGATACCACGGTTTGACGCAAGGTTTCCTCATCGGGGAACTGGTACGAAGGAAGACGGGCATGTCCATCGACAAGTTCATAACGGAAGAGATTTACCGGCCGCTGGGCGAGGAAGCGGACTTCCAGCTCGGGTGTTGCAAGGAGGACTGGAACCGAATTGCCCCCGTCATACCTCCACCGGGGCTTTCGATCCAAGAGGCGCTCAGCAAGGCGGGGTTCGAGCAAGACTCAATCATCGTGCGCACGTTGTGTAACCCTTCGTTCGTTGCCGAGGACGCCAACACTGCGCTCTGGCGGTCCTGCGCGTTAGGTTCAGTCAACGGCCACACAAACGCTAGGGCACTAGTCAAGATCCTCTCCTGCTTCTCGCTCGGCGGCACATGCGCTGGAGGCGGCCATCGCTTGCTGTCAGCTGAGACGGTGAAGCTGGCGCTTACGGAGCATGCCATTGGGACAGATTTAGTGACAATGCGGAGCGGGAGGCGCGGACTTGGAATCTACCTCACCGGACCTGGGTCTGGAATCGTCGAGGGCAAGCTGCCGGCGGGCAATGTTGGGTGGGGTAGTGGATGGGGCGGTTCGATCGTCGTTATTGATAGCGATAGGAGGCTCACAATCGCGTATGCCATGAACAGAATGCTAAGTGAAGAGCATCCTTCCCCGGCAGCGTTTATTAAGGCGATTTATGAGATACTTGGAGTTACCATAGCTGCCTGAAGCTATGTGTTGCATAATAGGGCATGAGAAGGTTTATTTACATAAGGTCTTATTAAATCACCATGGAGTCTATTGCATTACAAAGGGGAAGTGCAAGAGCCCAGCAGTTTAACCCCAAAGTGTTTCTTCCAAAATTGGCGATTAGACATGCTCCGGAGACTATCACTAAGCTTGATCAAGTTATAAGGGAATGCTTTCTCAACCAATCGGTTCCGATTTTCAGCTGGCTGAAGAACATTGAACATCGTGGACAAGGCGATATTGTTTCACCAGTCGCAGAGCCTCAAACTCTAACAGGGCTTCGTGAGAGCCACAGAGATTCCTCTGCCGATCACGGCCTAACGACCACTGAGCCAGTCTTACGGTGTAAGCCGTCAAACCTGGACATCGGGGATTCCGGGGCATCTTCCAATATCACTTGCAACAGTGATGGATTGAGAAATCCAGACTCTATTCCCCAATCCGTTACCAGTTCCAATGACGGGTCAGTCTCGGAATGTTTCTATATCAAAAGTATCTCGCAAAACGCGCAACGGAAGAAATCGCAGCGGAATATCTTGACAAAGCCATCGCGTCCACACAGAAAGCAATTGACTCACAATCGTTGGACAACAATGGCCTAGCAAACGCATTAAATAACCTTTCGATATTTCTCAAGGAGAGGTTGCTCAAGCATCAAAACAAAAGAGATCTGGACGAAGCTATTGAAATGGCACGCGGGGCTATCGAGAAGGCTCAGGGTGATGCTTTGGCTAGGTGCTTGAGCAATCTCACTTCGTTCCTCATCAGGAGATATCAGGTCGCTGGGGCTCAAGCCGATCTTCATGAGGCAGTTCAAGCATCGCGACGGGCCGTGGAAATCGCCACAGAGGCGCATTCGGACAATTCCGGATGCGTCGCGCATGGTACAATGGGAACAAAGGGCCGGAATTTTGAGATCGCCACCAAATTGCCATTTACTTTACTCAACTGTCAAGCCACCACGGCTAACATCAACGTTCCCGCCTACTCCGACAAGATATGCCAGTCCACTACCAACCAGTCGACCTATGGATGCTCCGACGCCTTGGTCATCCAAACCGAAACCTCACCCAACTCTTCCCTTGGAACAATTGCTAGTGTTGGCATTACTAACGGGAACCTCTCCTCCCCGTGGCAGGCTGCACACCTTGCCCCGAGCCAACAAAGCTCAGGACCTTCCGTCGAGACAGCAGGTGTCCACGGCCCGATCCGAACTTCCCACCTACTGCGAGTACCTATATTCAGCCCTCCTGCCTTTGACAACAATATCGCACCACTACCCGCCCCCGAACCCGTCGAGAAAACGCCCGAAATCGGCGTCAGGACACTCCCACCGCACTACGACGACATTGTCGGCACCCCTAGCGCTGGTGGCCTTGTAGATTTGTTTTCCAACCTAACAGGTTATGGCCTCGACGGCCCAGACGAAGAATAATTCTAACTTGGACGGGGTACACCTAAGATCCTGAACTAAACCGAGCTGGTCAACTTCGCGCACCCTGGAACACCGGGAGAATGCCCAGCGGGAATCTGAAGACTTTTGACCATTAATTTAAACATAGATGCTCCACGTCGCCCATCCCAATTTCGTTCCCCATTTCAAACGGTCGGTAGTTACAAGAAAAATACCCGTTGGCTCGAGCCGGGGATGATATCCAGACTTCCGAGTTTATATTTACTTTTGCTACCTAAACTCTAATACACTGGTAATACTCACGTTATCACTACGAAGTTCTCTCCTATTGCTTTTACTATCTTCCTTACCGTCTTTTCTCAGGTAAGCTTATCACAGAGCATTCTTATTATTATCAGGCTACTAAGATATTATCCTATAGGCGCAACAAAGCAAGGGCTCCTCTATCAAAGACGCAGCATCCTCTGCCCTTGACAGTGCCACCGGCATTATCTCCTCTGCAAAAGGCGCAGCGTCCTCTGTCGCAGGTCACGCCACCAGTATCGTCGAGAGCGCCCGTGGTTCCATCTCCAGTGCTATTGAGAGCAAGACAGGAAACGCTGCCTTGACTCCTACTAGCACCGAGGCTTCTCCCTCTAAGCATACTAATACTGCCGCGGCCGCCAGTATCAGCAGTAATATTGCCATAATCAGCTCTGATATCCAGACTGCAAAGGGCGCCGCTTCCTCTCTCCATTCAGCTCTGGCGTCGGCTAGCAGCGCTCTTGCGAGTGCCAAAGCAAGCGCGACCGCATCTGCCACGACTACAAGCACGCCTAAAGCCGCGGGTGCCATGCCTACTGCTGCTGTTGCCATGGGAGCCCTTATGGGCGGCGCTGCCGTTCTCGTTAATATGTAAATAGGCATGGTGTTAACGATATACTACGGCTATATGCTGTGGTCAGGAATATAACTAAGGTTAGGCTGATAATTAAGCAAATGGTCATATGCACAGGACTATATAGGGCTTAAGACTTAGGATTAGTAGGTGTTAAAGAGGTTACATAAGTGCTGGACTAGTCTCTAATTCCGGTAACGTGTTTGATAAGCGAGCCGGTCAAAAATCTCTCATCCTCCATTATTACTATTTAATTAGATATTTCTTAACCATTAAGTATGACACAACCTTCAAATGAAGCTAGAATCCTTCTTGCCCTTCAGGACCATCAAAATAACCGAAAGCTAAGCATCCGACGCGCTGCAAGGAACTATGAGGTTAAATATAGTACCCTCTATGACCGAAAGAATGGCATTCAATCGCGAGGCGATTCTATCCCAAATTCACGTCGACTATCCGATCTAGAGGAACAGATAATAGTCCAATTCGTCCTTGACCTAGATTGGCGAGGATTTCCCTCGCGACTGCGTTTTATAGAAGAAATGGCCAATTCTCTACTTACAGACCGCGACGCGTCACCTGTCGGCAAGCGCTGGGCTCATAACTTTGTAAAGAGACAACCAGAACTAAAGACGCGTTTATTTCGCAAATATGACTATCAGACAGCTAAATGTGAAGATCCGACTATTATTCGCAATTGGTTCAGGCTCGTACAGAACACAATCGCGAAGTATGGTATCCGATCAGATGATATCTGGAACTTTGATGAGACTGGCTTTATGATGGGCATCATTATGGCCGGAATGGTCGTCACTGGTTCAGAAAGGCAAGGAAGACCAAAGTCAGTGCAGCCTGGAAACCGGGAATGGATTACTGTAATTCAGGCGATTAATGCAGAAGGTCAATCGATCGCGCCGTTCATTATTGGTGCAGGCCAATATCACCATGCGAATTGGTACCGAGAATGCGACCTCTCAGGCGATTGGGTTATTGCAACGAGCCAAAATGGATGGACAAATAACGAGCTGGGTCTTGAGTGGCTAAAGCACTTTGATCGCTCTACAACTAACCGATCAACTGGTCCCTATCGTCTTCTGATCCTCGATGGCCACGAAAGCCACCACTCTGTCGATTTTGAGAGATATTGCAAGGAGAACAAGATTATCACGCTCTGTATGCCTCCTCACTCCTCTCATCTACTTCAGCCTCTTGATGTCGGCTGTTTTGGGCCGCTGAAAAAGGCCTATTGTCGAGAAATAGAGCATCTGATCAGATGCTCTATAACCCATATTTCCAAGACTGAGTTCTTCCCGGCCTTTTATGCCGCCTTTAAAGCTACTTTTACAGAAAGCAATATCCGGGGGGGGGGGGGGGGGGGGGTTTTAGAGGAGCTGGACTTGCTCCTCTTGACCCAGAAACCGTGATCTCAAAGCTTGATGTGCAGCTACGAACCCCAACGCCTCCCGGGGAGGTCAGCCAACCATCAACCCCATGGGTTTCAAAGACTCCTAAGACAGCAACAGAGGCTCAATCTCAGTCTGAATACTTAGAAAGACGAATCAGAAGACATAAAAGCAGCTCCCCAGAGTCAATTATAAAGGCTTTAAAGTCAAATACTAAAGCAACAAGGGCAATTATGCATGAGGTTGTCTTATTGAGAAATGAGGTGCGAAATCTTCGAGATTCAAATGAGATACTAAGCCGGCGCCGGAGGGGAAAAAGGACTAGACTACAGAAAGGAGGGGCAATGACTGTACAGGAAGCATCGCAAGTAATTGATCAGATGGATGTTAATGCGCAGGTAGTGGCCGAATCATCAAGAAGTGGTGGTCGAGGAAGGTCGGAGCGACCGGGCAGTCGGCGTTGTGGTGTATGCGGCACAGCCGGGCATAATGCAAGGACCTGTCAGGTAGTAATTGAGACATCATAGGGAAGAGTATAGTAAGTAGTTTTACTTGATTAGATGGTTTGTGGTGTTTTTAAATGGATTTAAAAGTTTAAGGCTGAGATTTTTGGTCGGCATACTTGTCCGGTCGGCATGCTTATCAACCACGTTACTCTAAATTAAAAGATTATGTTGTAGCTCTGCTATATTGCTCCCTTGAATCTTCGTTGTTATAATAGCTTCTTTCTCTCGTCCCTCTACTACTATAGTAGCTTCTGTCTCTTGTCTCTCTGCTATTATAATAGCTTTTTTCTCTTTTATATCTCCTGTTATGATCTCTTCCCTCTTTTGTACTCTTGTCTCTCTTGCGTGATTTATTATTTGTCCGTTCAAGTCTCCTCGGCCTTGTTTCCTCATAAGTTACCCTTTTTCTCGGTTTGTCTTTATCAACTTTCGAGCTATGGGCAACTGCCCTCATAATAGCATTAGCTATGTTGGAATCCGACCCGCCTTTTTCAAGAAGTCCCTTCTCTTGTATAAAGTCTTTTAGCCCGGCTGGAGACAACAATGCCTTGCCACCTTGCTTATCTCTCTTGCATATTCTGATCAAGGCATCTCCTGCGGACTCGTGCTCAGGCCAATATTTCCGTTCTTCCTCAGGCATTTTCGATCTATAGGCTTTCTCAAACCATGCCCAAAATTCGGAGCCATTCTTGAAGGGTATTGACTCCCGGGCCCTCAATTCCCTCTTCGCCTTATGCACACTTCGTTCAAGTTCTCGTAGCATGATATCGGTCGTAATAGCTAGCCCGTTGGTGGCGTCGATCATGCGCTTCATCGTCGATGTCGAGACGATATTGTCTGATCTTTTGTAGATAATGTTGTGTTGTACCTCAGCCCAAGCCTGGGTAACCAGCGTTCCA